TTTTCTGGAAATTTGCTCCAGATTTGAGCACAGAAGCTGAATGCCACTTCTCCATGTTTGATTCTTTTTAGCTTAAGCTCAATATTTAGCACTGAGCTAAATACACTGCTCAAAAAAATAAAGGGAACACTCAAATAACACATCCTAGATCTGAATGAATGAAATATTCTCATTGAATACTTTGTTCTGTACAAAGTTGAATGTGCTGACAACAAAATCACACAAAAATCATCAATGAAAATCAAATTTATTTGGAGCCACACACAAAATTAAAGTGAAATGTTGCCTTTATTTTTTTGAGCAGTATATTTAGTTTAGTTTAAAACTAAATATTTAGCATCAAACAAATATTTAGTTAGCAAGCTAAATGTTTAGATGGCTACATACTGGTTTGAACCTAAATATTTAGCTTGCTAGCTATACATTAGCAGTATTTATTAGCTGCAAGCTAAATATTTTGCTTCCAACTAATATTTAGCTAGTTAAATATTAGCTTGAGGTTAAATATTTAGTGTGTTAAGCGACTCGTTGCCAGGCGGCCATGTTGGAGACCAGCAGCAGGACTGTGCTGGACTCAGGCTGCTCTCTGTTTGAATCATTTAATTCTAACTCTGGTTTCCTCTCTGCTCCCCTGAGGTTCCTGAACCTGTGACCCTCCTGTGACCTTTGACCTGTGACCATGGCAGTCTGTGAAGTCATTCGGTTTGGGTCAGACAGTCACAAGTATCCAGATCCGGCAGCAGCGGCGCTTTAAGGTTTGATCCAGACGCTCTTCTTCTTCTTCTGTACGTCTGTGACTGAGCCGCCGCCCAGCATGCGTCCGTCCCTCGCCACTGCGGTCCTCCCACCCAGGACCCGCTCCCACAATCCCCCCAACCTGTCGGTGGGAGGCCGCGAACACCTTTCCGCCCCCCGCCGGCGCAGCCCTCACCTGCGCCACACACTGAGCCCAGAGAACCTGCGGACGCTGGCGGAGCGCGGCGGGGCGGCTGTGGACGCCGCCTCCATCATCGGTGGGCCGGTCGGGCTCACGAGGGCCAACAGCGATACCGACCTGGTGACCTCACAGAGCCGCTCCTCGCTCACGGCGTCCACGCTGGAGTACACGCTGAACCGCGGTCAGAACCTGGTCATCACCTGGGACATCAAGGAGGAGGTGGACGCCACCGACTGGATCGGGCTGTACCACATTGGTGAGTCCAGAGCCGGGACAGGGCCTCCAATTCGGGGGCCCCTCTTCCTGTGGAGAACTTTGCCTCTAGCCACGTTTGAGTCAGGGGTTGGTGGATTCTGGGAGAGGGGGCGGAGCTTAAAAATAATCACTGGTTCTTATTGGCTGAGGTGTATTTTTGAAAAACTGACACAAACGATTAAACTCATAGCATCAGATTGTAGCTGTGGTAACACAACAATCAAACTATGATGATTGTTTGCATTTTACAAAGAAAATTTACCAATAAAATCTTAAATTTAAATGTTAAAAAATATAAATCACTTAGTTTATCTCTGGAGACATGGTTAAAACTAATTTACTTTAACGCTATATGCTATACCATTTTGGTTTAGCGCTTTAGCATTAGCAGAATTACTTTTCATTATTATTGCTCAGGACCGGCCCAGGCCTCCATGGGGCCCTAAGCAAAATGTGGTTTTGGGGCCCTCTAGTTCTGCTAACAGTGTGGACCGGCTGCAGTCAGCAGTCCGATCATTGGGTCATTCACACGCCTGCTATAAGCTGATTGCATCTCTGGCTGTTTACATTATGTACATGTATAATATAGGATACATTTATTGGCCAACTGATTTATCAACCAGTCGATTTCTGGGCACCGATTTCCTTAATTTTGGGGGATCGTGATCTGCTGATACTTACATGTGAAGCTGATCTTTATAACTCAGCGTCTGTCCTCTTCTGCTCTGCAGTGAGAGGTTTGACTGACAGACCAACAGGTCTGAACCTTTACAGTTAACAATATTCACCCACTGTGGAAACTCAGTGGCTTTCTTTCTATATTTAGCAACATTTCAGACAAAAAAATTCATATCAGCCAAAACCAAAATCAGCAGGTCAGGCTTTTTAAATATCGGTAACCAGGGATCGTCCAGAAAACTGCAATCGGAGAATCAACTAATTTAAAGTTTAAACTCACACAAACACAAAGACCCTAGCTTAAATGTCTGGCTGTTGGCTGTTGAACTGGACCGTTCCAGGCCGCTATCAGGCTCATTTCTATTAGCAGCTTAACTAATCTTTACATTACATCACCAAGGCTCATTAAAACAAACCTTTATCTTGGCTTTTTTCTATTCTTCCTCTTTCTTTTCTCCCTCCCTGAATGATAAGTCCTTTTTTGAGACATTGTTTTGCTAACTTACCTTCTGACCGGAGCTTTGGACGTTTGGATGCTCTGCTCATCGCACGGCAGCTCATGATACCGGCAAAGCGTGCGGTACCTACCGCGGCCACCAGGAGGCCCCAAGAGCATTCTTTTTTATCAATAAAATAATCATTTCTACAAATATTATCAAATATATATTATTGTAAAACCAAATCACTTCATAGTGAAATTGTGTGTTTTTGATATTATGACATAAAAATTATTACTAAAAAAAAAAAAATCAGCTCCACTGAGGGGCCCCAGCATTAGCTGCTGAGGCATTAGCAGCTGAAGCATTAGCAGCTGAAGCATTAGCTGCTGAGGCATTAGCTGCCAAGGTGTTAGCTGCTGAAGCGTTAGCTGCTGAAGTGTTAGCTGCTGAAGCATTAGCTGCCGAGGCATTAGGTGCCGAGTTGTTAGCTGCTGAAGCGTTAGCTGCTGAGGCTTTAGCTGCCGAGATGTTAGCTGCTGAAGCGTTAGCTGCTGAGGTGTTAGCTGCCAAGGCATTAGCTGCTGAAGCGTTAGCAGCTGAAGTGTTAGCTGCTGAGGCGTTAGCTGCCAAGGCATTAGCTGCCGAAGCATTAGCTGCTGAGGCATTAGGTGCCGAGTTGTTAGCTACTGAAGCGTTAGCTGCTGAAGTGTTAGCTGCCGAGGTGTTAGCTGCTGAAGCGTTAGCTGCCGAGGTGTTAGCTGCTGAAGCGTTAGCTGCTGAGGCGTTAGCTGCCAAGGCATTAGCTGCTGAAGCGTTAGCTGCTGAGGCGTTAGCCTGGAGGCTGAGTCAACACGCGTTTCAACACACACCCTCATTACAATGACACACAGTCCGTCCCAGCAGCTGCATTGGCTAATCCTGCTTGTAGTCATGAATTTGACGGGGATTCACCGAGCCGACGCTGAAGGAGGCGATTCCACTCGGCGGTTCTGTCCATGCTGCTGAAACCCGATCCAGCGATCAGCATCCAGAACCGGAACCAGCTGAGAGTTCTCCCCATGAGGAAGAGCTGAGTCCAGATGTCCCCTCCTGGACACTTTATACTCCAAACGCCGGGTTGTCTCTGCAGTCAGCACAAGCATTGCTTAGGTTTACAGCTGCAGAAGTATTCACACCCCTAACCCGGTAGAACCAGCAGAACCTGCCTGCTGTGGGTCCGGTCTGCAGGCTGAGAGGAATTTAACTACTGCTATGACAAACCCGTTAAAAATGAAGCTACATTTTCATGTTGTTTTGTGCCAAATCATGAAACAGCAACACACCCGGTCAGTCAGAACACCATGACTGCGACCACAGCAGGTTCTGACGCTCATGTTTCTAAATGATTCGGCTTCTCAGTGAACAGTTTACGACCTGAAAGCTACGTAGCTAAGAACGTAGCTACGGAACAGGAGCAGATCGGATTTATCTGGGTTGAAATATCAGAATTAGTCCAATCAGACTGCTGTGAAAAAGTTGGATTTGAGTTGGATTAGCTGTAAACTTCCACACCACTGATCCCAGTATACACCCAGTAAGCAAGCACTGTCTGAGCAGGAGCTCATCAGAAGTGACGCCCATTTTATTATTATTTCCTTAGAGTTTGGTGTTTATTTATTTGCTGTTTCCTATTAGAGTTTAGATTTATTATTTTGGAGCTCCCCTGCTGTGTTTCTGCTCTTCTATGTTTTAAATTTGTTTTCTTTCTAGATCTTCATCAAGTTTCTCTTAGTTTTAGTTATTTTTATTTAGATATTCCCATTGTGCCTGGATCTTAGTTTTTTGTCCTTCACCTGCTAGTTAACAGTTCTTCATGTTAAAATTTAATTTGCACCAGAAACGGTTTGATCTGGTTTAAGATGCTGCTCTGCTGTGTTTCTGATTTTGCCAAATGTTTGTAGTTTCACTAGAAATGAAGCAGGAAGGAAGGTTGTTTGCTGGAGGCTCATTTTGGACGTTTTCTTTGTTCTGTGAAGCAGAAAATAAACCACAGAAGAAGAGTTTGTGCCAGGCGGGTCGTAAGGTGACTTCATATTGATCAGAAACTGCCAGAACTTAATTACCTGCAGCGGGGTCTCATAGCCGCCTCTTTCCTCGACTAAGCAGACATTCAATAACGACCCTGCGCGCACGCACACACACACACACAGACACACGCACAGCTCCAGGTTTGGCTCCTCATTAATCTGAGTATAAAAGTGCTACGTACAGCGGAATCCCCCATCCGTGTTTTTAACTCCAGGAAGTTCGTCCTTCTGCTCGGCGGTTGCAGGAAGTTATTTCTGGACAGAATTTCACTGATTAAAGGTAAACGTGAGCTTTGGATTGCCGAGTCTGCAGAGAAAATGCGCTGCATGCTGCAGCGCTGCAGGCTGCTGCAGCTGGGCGGCAGATGTCTGAGGGGTAAAAATAACCGCTGTGTTTCCAGATGAGACCAGTCCGTCCAACGTGTGGGACTGCAAGAACCGAGGCGTCAACGGGACCCAGAGGGGCCAGATCGTCTGGAGGCTGGAGCCCGGACCCTACTTCATGGAGCGTGAGTTCGGACCCGGGTCGGTCTGGGTCAGATCCGGTCAGCAGGAAGCTGGGATGTCTGAACTGATGATGATGATGATGTTTGTCCTTCCTCACAGCGGAGACCAGGATCTGCTTCAAGTATTACCATGGAGTGAGCGGAGCTCTGCGGGCGACGACGCCCTGCATCACTGTGAAGAACCCGGCGGTTCTGGTGGGCTCCGACTCGGTTCTGATCCATCACAACCTGCAGGATGAGCCTCACTGGTTACCAGTTCGTGGAGCCAGCAGCTCATACTGGAACATGTTTGAATTCATGAACATCCAGGACTTAAGAATTAACTTTAAGAAAAATGTTCAAATTATAAAACCCATTTCTGTTTAAAATGATTTTTAAACATTTTAGTTTAACCGATAATAACTACAAGAAACTACACGTAGTTTATATCAGTTCTTTAATCAAATCAAAATAATCACTCAGTTTGAACAGACAGAAAGGTCAAAGGTCATCACTGACCCTTCTGAATGACCTCCATCCATCTCCTTCCAGAGGAAGATTATTCCCAAAATATACAGGTATATGGAAAAAAAGGACTTTAAAAAATGTAAAATGTGAATAATTAGAAAGAAAGAAAATTAAAATAGAATTCAACTTTATTGTCATTGCACCGTCAGAAGTACAAAGCAACGAAATGTAGTTTGCATCTATCCAAAAGTGCTATACAGGGTATAAATATGTATTTACAGGTGTACAAAGGTGGTTATAAAAATAATACGTTCAGTATAAATATAATATAAATATAAATATGGGAGCTATATGCACATATACAGATTATGCAGATTATACAGAATATACAGAAATGTTAGGAATGGATTGTATATGTATTAGTAGATTTACAATACAAGTTAGATACTGGCAAATAAGATTTACAGATTATATACAGATTATGTATGAATGTGAGGACAGTCCGTATGTTATTGTTGTCCTTATGGTTTGTGTCAGGAGGCGTTCAGGAGCCTAACAGCTGTAGGAAAGAAGCTGTTCTGATGCCTGGTGGTTCTGGTCCGTAGGCTTCAGTAACTTCTATAACTAATTACATTTAAAAAAGTGAACAAGTACAGGAAACATATATATAAAATAAATACTAAATAAGAAAATGTAAAATAATAACATTAAAATTTAAAAAATAATGAATTAAAAAGGTAAAAACAAATTGAAACAACAAGAAAAAGCTTATTCAGCAGATCCAACCCAGCTCAGAGAAATCCCAGAGCTTTAAATGTTTAGCTTGCTAACTTATTCAGTTTGAAGATAAGTATTAGAGGTCAAAGGTCACGACCCTGAACAGAAGCGGCGTGTGTTTGCTCTGTGTCTGCAGGTGGAGGGTCTGGCAGAGCAGGTCGGCGTTGAACATCCACGGAAACTCATCAGCTTCACTCTAACCGGTGAGGAGAGACGGAACGCAGAAGAGGCTGCACCCTGTCACTCATTCAGTCAGACATGTTGGCAGTTTCACACTAAACATTTAGCTTGGAGCCAAATATTCAGAACCTAAAACTCGCTAGCTGTAAGCTAACTGTTTAGCATTGAGCTAAATAAGCTGCTAAATAGCTCCAGCATAGTTAGCAACTTAAATGTTTAGCTTGCTAACTTATTCAGTTTGAAGATAAGTATTTTGCTTGCAAACTAAACATTTAGTTTGAAACTGTGACATTTATGAGTGAATGAATAATATGGTGAAACTACGACTTTAGATGTTTGGCAGATTATTGCTGCTGGTTGTTGACTGTGTAACTTCGCAGTCGTGCATATTAATCTCTTTATTTAACTCCGTTCATTTCAAGCAGCTCATGTTGGGACAGTTTGGGTTTTATTCTCCTGAAGCTCCACGTTTCTAGAAACCAGGATGTAGACTCTGGCTCATGGTCTGAGGTCGTTTCGTTGCAGATCTGCGCTCCACCGGCTTGAAGAAAGGCATGTTTTTCAATCCGGACCCGTACCTGAAGATGTCCATCCATCCTGGGAAGAGAAACATCTTCCCGGTCTTCAGCCACCACGGACAGGAGCGACGGTCGGCCATTATCGCCAACACCACCAACCCCGTCTGGCACGGCGAGGTGAGTCTCCGCCGCACGCCGCAGCGCCTCCCTCCAGCGCCTCCTCACACCTCCCATTCTTCCTCACAGAAATACACCTTTGTGGCGCTGATGACGGACATCCTGTACATTGAGGTGAAAGACAAGTTTGCTAAAAGTCGTCCAATCATCAAGCGTTTCCTGGGTCAGCTGGCCATTCCTGTGCAGCGGCTCATCGAGAAGATTCCAGGGTAGGACACGCAATCATGGCGGCTCCCTTAAATCTGATGTCTGAACGCCACACACCTCAAATACATACAGCTCAATGTTTAAAGAAATGGAGCTGAAGGTCATAGAGAGTTTAAACTGATTAACTGGTTGGTGGTTCCAGTTTGAACCATTACACTGATTTATCAGTCCAGTGGAAGTCACTGAGTTTCTAAACATCTCCAGATTCTACTCTGATCGGTTCAAATACGGCTAAAGGTCAGGAGGATTGTGGCCTGGACACTGGCAGGAGCCCAGTGAAGCTGTTTTTAGTCAAGCCAGTTTAAAGAGGAAAACTCACCATTATTCATGTTTTTATTTTTGGTCTCTGCTGCTTGAAAAACATCCAGACACTTAAAATGAATCATCCAGACGCATTCTGGAAATAAATCCACGTTTTTTTGGTGTCTGGAAAAGGATCTGCTTCAAAAGCCTTCCGGTTATTACGTCAGAATCAGGTGGAACTGCTCCGTTGCCTAGCAACCCCAGCAGAGCAGGTTTTAATTGTTGAAACTTCTTCTGCTTCTGGGTCGCAGACGGACCGTTGCACAGTTAACATGGACATGAGGGGGCGGAGCCAGCAGCAGCTTATTTGCATTTAAAGGGACAGAGTCAAAAAAACCTGAAACCTGAAAACAGGCGAAACTGAGGAGGAGAAATCTGATTATCTGATAACAGAGTGGGGAGTATGTATATATCTGAGCCTATGTGGATCATGCTTCCTACTTCCTGTTTCTTGTTTTCTACTTCCCGTTTCCTGTGCAGGGTCCAGCCGGTCAGCTTCCCGCTGTGCCGCCGCCTGCCCACCGAACACGTCAGCGGCCAGCTGCAGTTCCGGGTGGAGCTGACGTCCACAGGGCCCGATGGTGAGCCAGGCTCCGCCCCCGTGGCCCTATGACCCCACCCACCTGTCTCTGTCCTCACCAGCCTCTGTCCCGCTGCAGGTGCCTCGCCGGACTCCATCATCGGCCTGTCGCCGCTGAACGGTGCCCCGGGAACGCCGTCAGACGACGAGGACCTGCCCCACCCGTTGCCAGGCGTGGTGTCCGCCGGCCTCTCCCCCACAGGCCCTCAGGGGCCCCACGGCCTGTGGGAAGGCGGGGCCGCCGCCCTGCCGGAGAAGGAGCTGCCCGCCGTGCGTCCGGCGCGCTTTGTGGAGGCGGCGGCGGTTTGTGAGCGCTCCATCCTCCAGCGGTCGCTGAGCGAGGGTCTGGATGCCATTGAGGCCCCCAAGGGGCCCGGTGAGAGGCCCCTCGGCGCCGCCTCACCCAGGCTGTGCTCCAGCTTCCCCACACACACCAGGCTCAGCGACATCCTGCACATCGACTCCGACGAGGACGAGGAGCGCTCTGCCATCAACGAGCTGCCGCCGTCGCCGCTGCTGCTGAACGGAGAGCCTGCTGATGGCGGCGGTGGCCCCGACGATGACGACCTGTTCCTGGAGGAACCGGAGCTGCAGGGGGCAGAGGGAGGGCCTGCGGACGCCCTGGTTGCAGAGCCGGGTCTGGACCTGGACGACGCTTTGGAGCCAGAGGTTTTCCTAGAGGTGGAGGAGGAGCAGACTGTTACCCATGATGCTTTGCCAGAGGGGGCACCAGGCGAAGACCTTACGTCAGAGATGGATTCCTTCTCCATGGCAACGGCACCTCAGACCGCCGGCTCCTCATCAGACAGCGGAGCGGTTACCATGGCTACTGCTGTGGTGAGTTTGGTTCTCCAACAGGAGCTGGGTCTGATGAATCAGTTCCTCTCAGAATCGTTCAGATGTTGCAGCGACAAGCTGATGATGACGTCAAAGGTGTCATCCAATCAGGAGCCAGCATCTGTTCTTAAGGGTCAAACTGGTCCACGTGTGAGCTGGTTCTGACCCAGGTGGTTCTGTGTGCAGGAAGCCGATGATGGAGCGGCGACAGCCATTGATCCGGGGGGAGACGGGGAGGCCGGTCTGCCGCCGACCTCTCGACCTGGGGATGATGATGATGATGAGGAGGAGGAGGAGGCTGGAGGAAGAGAGGCGGCCTCCGAGGCTGAAGCAGATCCTCCAGCCGCCAGCGAGCCACCGCAAGAGGAGGAGGAGGAGAAGGAAGAGGAGGTTGGCGTGAGGAGGCGGAGCCTGCAGGCCACGGGAGGCAGTCATGATGGACAGGAAGTGGCAGAGACCAAGACTCGGGAGGAGGGGGGGTCTGTGGATGCGGAGCACGTTACCACGGAAACAGACAGGGAGGAAGGTATGGCGCCTCCTGCTGGTCTCAGACAGTCATATCTCCCAGAAATAATCCAGTAAACCGGTTTTCCTCCAGACGCTCCCGTTAACGGCCATCCGGTCCGATCGCTGCCTTCGGTGCGCCATGACATCCACCGCTACCAGAGGGTGGACGAGCCGCTGCCCCCCAGTGAGTGTGTGTGTCTGCATGCCAAATCACGCTGCGTCATGCAGCATAATGAAGCACCACGCTGCGTCACGCAGCATAATGAAGCATCACGCTGCATCATGCTGGGTCACGACGCATCAAGCTGCATCATGAAGCATCAAGCTGCATCAGGCATCATGAAGCATCACGCTGCATCAGGCATCATGAAGCATCACGCTGCATCATGCTGGATCATGACGCATCAAGCTGCATCATGCTGCATCATGCTGCATCATGAAGCATTACGCTGCATCATGAAGCATCACGCTGCATCATGCTGGGTCACGACGCATCAAGCTGCATCATGAAGCATCATGAAGCATCAAGCTGCATCATG